TCTCTCTCTCTCTCTCTCTCTCTCACACACACACACACACACACACACACACACACACACACACACACACACATGTGCCAGGTACTAACCTGTGAAGATGGCGCTGTGCTGCAGGTACCTCGAAGACGAAGGTGGAGCTATGGCGCTGCAGGTAAGTATCCCTGGCGTCTGCCCAATCTCTCTCTCTCTCCAGTACTACTCTAGCTCCTACTAGCGCCCAGCGCTAAAGACTACTGCTAACGTTACTACTACTACTGCAGCGCTCCTCCAGAGTGCTGCCGCCGAATCCTGAAGACTACCTCCTGCCTCCTGAACTGCACATGAAGTGCCTGGGAAGTACCTATGACACCCTTGCAGCCTGCAGGGCGGGCCAGTCCTATATAGTGCTGGCCCGTCCAGGAGGCTGCTCTTGCCAATGCCAAAACGTGCCAGACCCTGGCGTTGAAGCTCAACCAAGGGTTGTATTGAAAAGAGGCCCAAAATGGCCTGTGCTAAAACCCTGGTCTGGTGCCTGAGTTTCAGGGCAGGTCGATCTTATGAGGGCCTGAAAATGGCCCTCCGTTTCAGGCTGAAAAGACTCAGGGCCGGGAAGGCCCTGTGTTTAGGCTGAAACGGCACAGGGCCTGTAGGCCCTTGTTTTCAGGCTTTCAGGCTGAAACGACACAGGGCCTGTAGGCCCTTGCGACACCGGCCTGAAAATGGCCTGTGCAGCCTGTTGCAGGCGCAGCATGTAACACAGTTGATCCCAGGACGCAGGTGGTTGCGCCCTGGGCACACGCAGCGTGAGGCCGACACATCACGAAGTGGCTGCAGGCGAATGAGAATGCAGCATTGCCGTCACCTCTACCCCGCGGGAATTATAACAGGTGGATGAAATGAAACAGAAGCAAATCCAAGCAAAGAAGCACAGCGCTGCAAATGAGCAACCGCGCAATCCAGGGATCCCCGGCTCATCCCTTGTTAACCAGCAGCAGAAGTCCTGACCCTTAACTTCTTGTAACACAGGGAAAAAAAAACACAGGGAAAAGGAAAAAAAGAGAAAAGGACAAGAAGCAAAGGTCTTGACCCTAGCAATCGCAGAACCTTCGTAAGTTATTTTTAGCTTTCTGGGCCTTAACCAACTTCAGTCTCCGTTCGGTCATTGATGCCCGCAATAATTAGGCATGCCACCGACTACACGTGTCCATATGGACGAGGTCTCGGTCAGATTGTAATGTGGAAAGCCAATGTTGCTTGGCCGTGGACCAAGCGGTACAAGCCATAACTGGGTTTGTGACCTTTGCCCATAGGAAGAAGAAGAAAGAGGAGAAGGTGGTAGGTGGTGATGATGGTGTCTGCCTCCAGAGGACAGTGAAGTCTTTCCTTAGGGGGGGGGGGGGGGGGGGGGGGGTAACTGTAACTAGGGCGTAGCGCCGTAGTCAGTATGTCATCGCAAAGACTTTCCATGTGACCCTGAGGCGAACGTCATTGGAAAGCGAAGGAAGTTCTCCTCAGTGGATTCCGCAGAGTAGAAAGATGGCCCTGTTCCGGTCCATTTAACACGCTGGCTTGGATAGGAGAGGAGACCATCATGCAACGGGACAACCCGGCTCAAGTTCGTGTCGTAGAAACGAAAAGCAAAAGGCAACACCGGTGTCGCGGGTGCTGCCCTCGATTGGCAGGGCCCCCCTCTGCCAGCTTAAGATTGACCCCCTGCCATGGGGTTGGACCACCATGGAGGCAGGGCAGAGCAGAGCAGCCCAACCCCAGACTGCTGGACTATTCAGTAGCTCTGGGCTACCAACAATCTGGGCTATCGATGAGCTTGATCAGTGATCAGAGACAGCCAGCACGGATAACCACTGCACGCTGGCAAGTGGTCTCTGACTCTCTGGGGAGAAGAGTTGTTGAATGCAGAAGCAGAATTCGAGAGGCTGTGGGACCAGAATTCGAGAGGCTGTGGGAGGATCTGATCTCCCTCCCGAACGGCAAATGAGTAAGCATCCTCTGGCTCCTCTCGCGGATGGTGACACCGTCGGCGGTGTGGCTGCTCAGCAAAGGCATGGAGGTTAATTTGGGTTGTACCAGATGCAGATGGCCGTTCGAGTCTGTACCAGGTGCAGATGGCCGTTTGAGTCCATACCAGGTGCAGATGGCCGTTCGAGCGTACCCGCCACCTCTGGTGGGAATGGCCAGCATCCGAGAGGATATGGAACTGGTGGGTGCACGATTGGAGGGACACTGGCAGGCAGAGAGCTACCTGGGACGAGAAGTTGATACCGCTCGGGTTTCTTCCTCTGAACGAAGCAGGTCACCGGGGATGGCGTTTCATTGCGCATGCGGTCAGGGGGGGCATCTGTGAGATCATCTGGTCTGAAAGAAACAGGTCGAGATTCCGAAAGAGACCGTCCGTTTTCAAACCAAGAAATCAAACTCAGGTTCAAACACGGACTGAGACAAGCGATCCAGGTGGAGTGGCGAAGGAAGACATATGATCAGGGAGGCGGAGGCCAGGACAGTTGCGCTAGGACAGATGCGCTGGTTTCAGAGGACATGGGCCTAGAGCCAACAGCTAGCAACGATTCACCCGCGCAAGTGCCTGCTACTGTCAAAATGGGTGCTGGACACAGACGAATTAGCTACGCGACAGGGGCAGGGGACATGCAGTTAGTAGGGTTCTAAGTGGGCGAACGGTGGATAGTGTTCAGATAGCGTAGGGATGGAGCGGTACTGAGCTTCCAACCACGGCACTCGGTTGAGCAAGGCCACTGTCGGCCGTTCGATGGACTGTCGGTAGGACCGGACCAACCTGGTCCTCCGGGCCGCATTAGTCCCGGATGTGGACCAACCTGGCCCTCTGTAGTCAGGCTATGGTGGGTTTGTGTAATGGGTGGCAGCTGCATTTGATCAGATCCCCACTCACTTTGACCAACCTGGCCCTCTGTAGTCGGGCTATGGTGGGTTTGTGAAATGGGTAGCAGCTGCATTTGATCAGATCCCCACTCACTTTCTCAAATATCCCAAGTTCATTGCATCTAAATCAGTTTACGATTTCAGGTAAGTATTTTCAAAGAAAGGTGATCAGGATATAAGTTAAGGATAAAAGGCGACAGCTGTAGGGGACCGGGAGTCAGCAGTACGGACTTGGGCAGGCAGAAAGCCTGTCAGCTAAGCTGGCTGATGCTGTCAGTACTCCGGGTTGAATTGTGAAGTCCCCGCCCTCGACTATTAATTATAATGAAGGAATGATTGGATTAAAAAAAAAAAAAAAAAAAAAAAAAAAAGAAGAAGACGTTCAGTTCATGTCAGCATAGTTTGTTTTTCCAGATTATCAGATTATTTGGACCCCTTTTTTTTTTTTTAACACGAACCTTCCCTGGTCCTGGTCCTTGCCCGGCCGGTCCGCGGCCCGGTTGGTAACACAGGGAGGAACTACCACCCTTCTTCGTAGAATTTCCCAGAAGATATACGAACGGGACTTGTTTTTTTGCTGGGGCATTTAAAATGCCCGGCAGGGAATTGATTTCTAATTAGTTCGGAATTGGGTCCGAAATTGGGTTCGAAATTGGAATTTGGTTCGAAACTGGCATTCGGTTCAGAATTCGGTTCGGAATTAGGTTCGGCATTAGGTTCGGAATTTGAATTGGGTTCGGAATTGGGTTCGGAATTGGGGCATCTCCACACCAACGTCCCAACCACAAAAGTACGAGTGAAAGTGGAAAGCTGCATCCGTTAGTATGAAAAGTAACGGATGCATCTCGCCACTCGCTGCGGGAACATGAATTGGGTTCGGAATTGGGTTCAGAAGAATTAGGGCCTCGCCACACCAACGTCCCAACCAGAAAAGTACGCCTGCATAATCGTCAGAAAGTGGCGAGATGCATCCGTCACTATGAATAGTAACGGATGCATCTTGCCACTCTCTGCGGGAACATGCACTTGATACTCCTCCCTTTCGGACAGTGGTGTGGCCAGGGTCTTCGCGTCGGCCGCAGCTCATATAGCAAGCGGAGTTCGAGGGACGGACCTCATTCAGACGTCATGCATATATCAACTACAAAACAACAAAAAAAAAAAAACAACCTCACAACGACAAGTTGACGACAACAAAAATATTAAAAAAAAACGTTTTTTCTCCCTTTTTGGGAAAGAATTTGTTTTCTTTGTCACGTGCATCGCAACTTTCTTTTCTTTAAAAATTTGGACCGTTCCTCGATTTACGCGTGGCATCCATCCTTGAGCAGGGGCAATTTGCCAATTTACCCTTCTTCTCCGTATCCTTCCATTTTTTATAGACGTTCCTCCGGAGGACCACTGCAACTTTTCATTCTTTTTTTTTTTTTTGGGGGGGGGGGGGGGGNAATTTTTCATTCTTGCCAGCTACTTCGAGAATTTATTTTATTTATTTTTTTGAAGAATTTTTTTTTCCGTGTCAGTCTTTTTTTTTTCCCCAGTAAATTAATAAGGTCAGAAATTACTCTTCTGACACTGCGATGAGTTTACCAACGACTTTCATCGGCGTAAGATCGAACCCTTGGAGCCTCCGATCGTCCGCACCATTAGTGACGGGGTAAAGAGTACGGGTCTCGCTCCACTACTCAACCTTCCACATGCATTTGGACGCCTTTCTGGACTAGGTGAATTGGGAGGAGAGCAACATTTTGAATGTATCGGGACGATTAAGAGCTCCAGATACATAATAGAGTGTTGTGTAGTGGAGCGAGGCCCTCTGCCTTCACTATATTCACTACTAATTACTAATACAAATTTTATTTTTATTTTTAACTATATATTATATAATTCTCTCTGTCTTTAATCTCTCAAATTCACCTCCAAAAACCTGCCTACCTACCTACCACCCACTACTCCTAAGGCTATACACGGGACCCTTGAAAGCATATAGCTATATATACCTCTCCTGGTCATGGGAGGTTACCCCTCTCCTTGGAGAGGTATTGCATGTTTGCCCCTTGCCGTCGTGGTTTAGGGTGCAGGGTTAGGGGGGCGCGGTTGGGGGCCCGGCTCACACAAAGACCGAGCAATTTCATTTATTTTTTCCTTCCCTTCTTCTTCTTCTTCTTTGGGGATCATTTCTTGATTTATTCCTGTCATCCTTGCGCAGGGGCCATTTGCTAATTTACCCTTTTCTGTGTCGTTCCAATTTTAACGGATGTCCCAACCCGAATGACGGGGCCGATAATTTTTTACTATATAATTTTCTAAATTGTCACATGTTACACCTTTTTTTTTTTTTTTTTTTTTTTGACATCCTTACAGAGTTCCTTATTCCACGCTCCCCATTCTCTGCACATCCGAGCCTTTTTCGCTTCTTCGGGGGCTTTTTACTTGTTTCGATTTTGTCTGCTGTCTTTTTTAACGGGGCTTTAGTTCAGCCAGGTGTACTACAGCCTTCCACCGAATAGAACGTACGGTCATGATCGCTGCATCTAGACTGAAAGTTGCCCTAGAAACAGCTATAACAACCCTCCGTTCTATTTGGGTTTTTTTTTTTTTTTTGGGGGGGGGGGAGGAGGGGAGGGGAGACCGGGGCGAGACGGTCGGACACAACTGATCCCAAGAGATTCACCACGCCTCCAAAAACACCCCCCACCCAAAGACACCCCCAAACACAAACACCCCCTTCTTCCCCTCCCAAAACCCGGGAAGGGCGGGGAAGAGAGCCACCCACGTGTCAGCAGCCACTTGTCAAACTATCCCCTTACACATCAGCCATGACTACCGTCTTTCCCCAAATAGAACGTACGGTCTCTTTTTTTTTTTTTTCCCTTCCATTTAATAGCTGTATTTGGGGTAACTTTCAGTCTAGATGCAGCGATAACGACTGTACGTTGTATTGGGATGGAGACTGTACTGTGTCTTCCATACACCCTTCATCTCTGTCCTCGTTCTTTAATTTCGAAGGTGGCGATTCTTCCAGTGTGAGTATGGCCTACGTGATGTGTAAATCTGACATGCCCGGACTGACGTCAGCAATGTCCGAAGCCACGTGGCAGATGTACATGGACGAATGAATGATTGGACAAACGGATAACGGGATGGATAAAATAAATGAATAGATGGGTAAATAAATGGTTGGATGCAATGGGTGGATGAACGGACAGATGGATAAGATATAAATAGATTATTATAGTAATAGACAACATACTACCGTCTTCACTACGCCCGGTCATTCTAGCTGTATTTGATGCATTTTTCAGTCCAGATACGGCCATAATTACCGGGCGTTCTACTCGGGTGAAGACGGTAGTAATAATGTATACGTCGATAGATCCTCATCCGTCAGATTAATGGATCGTTCGATAGATACGGTAAACAGATAAGAAAAGGAAAAAAAAAAGAAAAAAGACAGACATAAGATAGATCGATAGATCCTCATCCATTTCCCGTACCTATCAGATAATGATACTTTTCGATAGGGAGGATGATATACAATAATACGGACAGAATGAGTAACGATCATTGATCCCCCGAACACAACGCACCCTCATTCTGACTGTATCTGGCCGGAAACAGCCCTTGTATACGTTCCTTTTCAGGGTGCGTTATGTTCGGGGGAAGACGGTAGCTCGGGACCGAAATATCGACTGCCATGGGTTGTGACAGTGATTGAGCAATCGAGCTTCGGGGCTTTTCTTTTTTTTCCCCCACTTCATGCGTCTGTTATAATAATGTTTATTTTCCCAAAAATATACGTAAAAAATGTTTACCTTGCCAACGTTTTTTTTTTTTTTGTTTTTTTTTTTAAGCGTTCAGCTCTAGGCTACCAGAGTGGCCCGGGTCCACTTGCCCGGCCGGGGCAAAATGAATGACAGCTTCCCGGTTAAAAGCGGGTTGGGGGGGGGGCGTGCGGGGGCGCGGAGAGGGGGGAGGAAAGGGAAAAACTGGCCCTACTTCTTTCGGCTCCATGTATGCATTGACGACTCCTCGCGGATTACCGTCTTCCCCCGAATAGAACGCATGGTCATTGGAAGGGTAAGATGATGTTAAGATCCAATTGAAGTTAGATGGGTAGGGAGCTTGGCTGACAAGTGACATCTGGCGGACCCCCCTGGGTCTGACGAGGCTTCCATATCATTTTGACCATACTCTCAATGCAATGTATTTTTGGGGACGCTGGACTCGTTTTCCAGCAGGTGCAGCTCCCCACCAATAGAAAGGAGCCACCGTAAGGACATGGTACCTGATGATGCTCGTATCATCTCAGATAACAGTCCCAGAGGATGTTTTTGGAAAAAAAAAAAAAGAACGCATGGTCATTATCGCTGCTGCTGTATCTAGACTGAAATTGGCGGCAAATACAACTAAATGACCGCGCTTCACGATTTGGGGAAAGTCGGTAGCCCGTGAGGCCTTTTTTAATTCCCCACCTGACACTGCGCGCCATTTATTGATGACGTCATTTTCGCGGAGAGAAGGGGGAGGAGGGCAGGAGGGAAAGGAGAGGGGGGAGGCGGGGAAAGAGGGGGAGGAGTGGGGACGAGAGGGAGGAGGGGGAAGAGGGGGAGGAGGAGGGAGGAGAGGGAGGAGGAGGGAGGACGGGGAGGAGGGGGAGGAAGGGGAGGAGAGGGAGGAGAGGGAGGAGAGGGAGAAGGGGGCGAAGGAACAACACACAGAAATTAGGAGTAGACTGACACATTACAGTTTTATGTTCAACAGGTGAAGAGTTGAACCCTGGATAATGAATACTACAGTCTTCACCCAAATACAATGTACCGTCATTATAGCTGTACTTGGGGCAACTTTGAGTCTAGATACAGTGATAATGACCGTACGTTGTATTCGGGTGCAGAAGAAAGTAGTGTTTCTTCCGGAAAAAAAAAAAAAGGGAGGAAAGAAATGGCACAATGATGATTGAAATCATCACTAGAAACGATTCCTCAAAAAAAAAAATCACTGGCAAACATGATGTCGTTGTCTCAAAGCAAACTGGGATTATTTTTTTTTGGGGGGGAAGGGGGCGGCGGGGGGGGAACGAAAAAAAGAAGAAAAGGATAACGCCATTGTCAAGCAGGCAAAATTTTCGCGCGGGAAAGAGAGCACGAAAGCCACCTTCCGTCTCTGCCCTCAATTTTGGGACAAAGACGGGCGGAGGGGAGGAGAGAGGGGGAGGGGGAGGGAGAGGAGGAGGAGGCGAAGGTAAGCGTTAGGAAAAGGGGGGAAATGAGGGGTAATCATAAGTAGAGATACACAGAGACGCTTCCCTTCCCCAGCAACATGATTAACCATGGTTAGCGGCGCTATAACCATGGACAATCATGTAGCGAAAAACACGTAGGCGCGGGAAGGGAGAGGTCAGGGAGAGAGATGTAGAGGGCGGCTACCGCGAGCAGTTAACGGCGAGAGAAACACAGAAAGACGGCTAAGAAGAGARRGGGCGAGAATGGRARAAAAAGTGAGGGAGGGGARACGYGRAGTGAGAGAGAGAGWGAGAGAGAGWGAGAGAGAGAGAGAGAGAGAGAGAGAGAGAGAGAGAGAGAGAGAGAGARAGMGTAACTGCTRTCGTCTCCACACAGAGTCGAACGGAGWTCTGMTATYACRKGGCGAGAGAGAGAGAGAGAGAGAGAGAGAGAGAGAGAGAGAGACTACGTACCGGTTTGGTAGGTGGAGCCCCGGTCGCCACGGGTAGTCCCCCTCCACCCCTGATCACTGCCCATCTGCGGGACATACGTCTCCCAAGAGCGAGAGACAGAGACAGAGCCCGACTGCTCGTCGCCATAGCTCACCTTCCTCCTCCCTCTCTCACCTTCCTCCTCCCTCTCTCACCTTCCTCCTCCCTCCTCCTCGCCCACTTTCGTTCTCCCGCTCGCCTGCCTGCCCGTCAATGGAGTCGATTCTTTTACGATGAAGGACCAGTATACGCGGTCCCGATGAACTACCGGGGTCGTCCTGGATGCTCCGCAGGCCCTCCAAAGGCCCAACCTCCTTCGGTCCTCCCCGGTGCTGCCTCTCCTCCTTCCCGTCCGTCCTCTCACTTCTATGGCCGTACTCACACCACCTAGCACTTTCTTTCTAGGATGCATATGTGACTGAAGAGGACCAGATTCATTCGATAATCTCCAAATATGCGTGTAATCCCACCTGCTACCGACGGGCTACCGCTGCGAGACGAACAGGAAGGTCGTAGGGTGCGGCCCGACTTGAGCGCTAAGAATGAACCTGGACGTCGCTGTGCCGAACATTCGTGTAGAATTTCCGAAAGAACGAGAAAACCCGGGGCCCGGGCGTCTGCCTCGATGCTACGCGCCTGTGAAGACATAACGAGTTCAAGGCCCAAAGAAACAAACCGCAGAGACTACCAATACTGGAAGACTAAATTTTTTACCCAAGCAGTTCACCCCCCTGGGCACCCAAAAAAACAAACCCGGCAGAAGGAGACAGCCAAAAAGAGAGAGAGGGTGTCATCGGCCGTCTCGAGGGCTCAGGGGTTGTAGGGGGAGCGCTGGCGAATAGCGGTAGCGCTCCGGTAACAGCGTGGCTACGAGCTTTCACCGCGCACAGCGCTGTTTACCTGCGAATCTCGCCGCCAAGACGAGAAGCAGGACAGTGGACATGCCCGCCCTCTCGTGGGTGGAGGCTATGCCTCATGGTATCGTCTTCTTCAAACAGTCCATAGCCAGGCTAGGTTAGGACCCACTTTTCGACACGAGGCTATTGGGAAGAAGGATGGAGACGCGTGGAAGTAGGCGGACACAAAACCGAGATGGATTGTTGCCCCAAGCCTAATGCTCATCGAATTTGCCTAAAGTCGGTCATAGATACCACAGTAACTCGAATCACCATCGCTACGGTAAAACCACCAAAACACAACGGTAGTAAACAGTAGGTGGCAGACCACTCGCCTGGTCACAGGTAACTATAGTTCACACGCCTTCGCCAAGGATAGACGTAGAAGAATATCGAAACTCGTATGAGCCCGCTCCAACTCGACAAGTAAGAAAAAAAGCGGGGAGGAGAGACGAAGGAAAGGAGAAAGCTGCTATCTTCCAAGTATCACCTCTACGGTAGAATTATAACCCTACCGACAGCGCCCAACGTATTTGCCAATGACTAGAGGGACGAGCAAAAATCTCCAATTAGGAGAAGGTAGAGGTGGTCTGTACGTGATCTCAATCTCAACAACAGTGTTTGAATTACCGTACGGCAAGGATAAGTTTCACCGGTTATCCGGAAACCTGGGAGCGGCGAAGCGGGTTTAGAACCAATTGGATTCAAAGGCGGAGGCTGGATGTAAGAAAGGAGTAGAGAAGCAGATCAGGCACCCCTCAATAAGGGAGAAGTGGAGTCTGGCAGAGTGAATTGGACTGGGAAGGAAGATGCAAGAGACCAGGAACCTATCTCCTCGTCGAGTTGGCAGAGAGGGAAACCAGGAATTGCCTAAGCGGTTATGATCTCAGCGTGATATAGAGATGGTGACTTGCTGCAGGGAAAGAGGAGCGGATCAAAGATCCGCAGTGAATGTGTAGTGGATTTAGTAGAAGTGAATTGGACAGAGGTGAAGGTTGTAAGAGACCGGGTCACTTGCGGTTAACGACCACCTGAAATTTCAGAATGAAAGATTCTGAAGTGGTCTGAAACCGCTGAAATGGCATGAAGACACTTCAGATCATTTCAGAAGTTTCGGGTGGTTTGAAGGACAAGTTTTATGTTTTTTTTGTTGTTGTTTTTTTTCCTGCCTGTTTTTTCAGCCACTTCAGGTCATTTCAGGAATTTCAGGTGGGGACCTGAAACCGTTGAGGTGGCTGAAGCTTCTGAAAGGGGTTTCAGGTACCCCCATCCAAATGGTTGGATGGGGGTACCTGAAACCCCTTTCAGAAGCTTCAACCACTTCAGGTCATTTCAGGAATTTCAGGTGGGGATCTGAAACCGCTGAAGTGGTTGAAGCTTCTGAAAGGGGTTTCAGGTACCCCTATCCAAATGGTTGGATGGGGGTACCTGAAACCCCTTTCAGAAGCTTCAACCACTTCAGGTCATTTCAAGAATTTCAGGTGGGAACCTTAAACCGCTGAAGTGGCTAAAGCTTATGAAAGGGGTTTCAAGTACCCTCATCCAAATGGTTGGATGGGGTACCTGAAACCCCTTTCAGAAGCTTCAGCCACTTCAGGTCATTTCAAAAATTTCAGGTGGGGACGTGAAACCGCTGAAGTGGCTGAAGCTTCTGAAAGGGGTTTCAGGTACCCCCATCCCACCATTTGCAATGGATCTGTAGACAATCTGAAAGTGGTGTATCAACCTGAAGTGGCTGAACTGCCTGAAGTCGGTTTCAGACAACCCCATGTATAGATCTACACACAATCTGAAAGTGGTGTAGTAACCTAAAGTGGCTGAACTGCCTGAAAAGGAGACCTGAAAATATATGCACCCGTTAACCATCTTTCGACCGGGCACCTATCTCCTTTGTCGACCTGGCAGAGAAGGTAGAGTGCGACAGAGATTAGGAAAAACTGCCACCTGACACATATAGACCGTAGTGCTCCAAAGAGGGAGAGACAGGATGAATCTCTGAGCACGGGACTGACGAAACTCCGAGTACGACATAGATAGGGAGATGGAAAGATATGCAAGACAAGAAGATCAAGGGAGCAACAACAAGTATGTTCCCCCAATCCGCCGAACAGAAGCAAGATCACAGCAACAAGGAGAGGGAACGGGAAGGGTCAATTCCAACGGATCAAGCGGGCAAATACCTTTTGTATTGCCAAGACAACATCAGGAAATAGTGAACAGGGTGCGGGAGTCAGTGGGTCACTGCTATGACGAAGGCATCTGCCTAGATGACCTCGACCTCGGTGAAGTGGTGGAGGGTGAAGAAGGCAGAAGATTCGTGGTCAACGGAGCAGTGAACAATATCAAGGAGATTTGGCTAAAAGACAGAACTGTAATTATGATTTTTCAGGAGGAAGCGAGACAACTATCGAGACAGGTAAAAGAAGATCTGGTCAGAGCATACGAAGATGGTTGGATGACGCAGAAAATCTTCAACCCAGACACAAGGAGGGGCAAAATTTGTTTTGAAGGCCAGAACATTATCTCGTATGTAGCCAAGGCGAAGGAAGTGGCTGAGTGGTTGCTGAAGAGAGGGGAAGAAAAACTAAAGCTGGGTTCAAAGGAGTATCTCACGACATTCAAACCTTGGATCTCACGCCAAGAGTTACGCGACCTGCGATTGCAAGAAGCGGAATCCAACTTCTGGATAGTTGTCATGTGAGTACAATTTGATGCATACTACTACCTGTTAGGAGCAGTCAGGGGGGTGTTCGGAGAGGTGAAGGCGATGCATCCTCCGGAGTACGACAGAACGAGACAAAAGTTGATGAATGTCAAATTAGACATGCACCCTGACACGAGATTTAATGTGGATGACGATCTAGTGATAGAGAAGGAGAAAGGTGGAAAATAGAGATCGCAACACCTTACACCGATTGGTGTAGAAAGTGTAAATGGTACTTTCACACGAAGGAGAACTGCCCGAGGACGAGACACGATGAAGAAGGAAGAAGAGATGGAGGTTATAAAGAGCGATTCCTGCAGCACATTCTAAGCAGGAATCAACAAGCAAGTGGAGAAACAGGTGCAGCGCAAGGACAGGGTCACACAGGAACTCAAGGAAGCCAAGAAGGTGGTAAACATGACCACAGACAAGCGCAAGTAACCCAACAATCAGACCATGCAGGGCGGGCTCCAAGCCACACGAGTCGAATGGCAATCCTGGACCGATCCCGCCTGGAACCACACAACGCAAGGCTGGACGTGAACAGAGGACAGAAGGGGCAGAAATGGGTATCCAGAGAAGTGCAGCAGGGGGGTGCCAGGGATTCCATACACAGCAAAAGTGGAGACTGGAGGAATGGAGAACACATGGCCCCGCAGCCATACTTGCCCCCAGGGCCACACCGAAGAGATTGGCCAATCACACCAATTACGGAGATCCCTAAGTCTTCGCAACCAGCCAGGGAACCAAAGTGGAGAAGGCAGTTCGTCGGATGACAAAGTTATGATGGGTTCAAGGGTCTGCAACAACAGCCAGCAGTGACACACGACTTCCATCAGGAGTTTCAGCAAGTCGCAATGCAAGACAGACCAGGAGACAGTAAAAGAGAAGGTTTTTGTCTCGAGTTACACATACTAGGGACGTAGCATCAAAGATCCCTTCAATTCCCCCTGGTTATCCCCAGACCCGATACCCATCGAGCACTTACGACTGGAGACCATGGGCTCAGCAACAGTTGATGCTGGAGCCAGTCCAACCAGATCAGACAAGGTGGGAAGAACAGTTAGAGTACAGACAAGGCAGGGGATATATCAGGCAACAGGAGACAACAATGGGAAGAAGAAGGAGAACAGGGCGATGTAGCGAGACAAGGAGGCAAGAGGATACTAGACCCGGCGAAGGAAGGGGACATAGCAGAAACAGGACAACCCAGAGGTGGGGGGATGAGTGTGGCATAGAAAACACTCCTGAAAGGCCAACATTCAGGGCTCCAAAGGACGCCCTTTTAGAAGAGTTATCAAAGACGCCAATCTCCTCCTGTTCTCGAGTCCACATGGATTGTGAAGTGGGAGCTAATCAGTTGGGCAACGAGCACTCTTCATCGTCAATGGAAAGCTCAGCAAACTCAAGACTACAACCACGGGAAGGAAAAGGGATAATGCATGGTCAACTGGTGGTTCGAAACTGAAGAGCTGACACAATACACAGGGACCAAGCTGAGTTGGTTAAGCGGAGAATAGTGCCACTTGTCTGCACTCAAGCGCAGGATGGGGCTTATTTCCTTGCGTTGTCGGACAAGGCGGGCGACTCCTTCTTTCCATCTAAAGA